TTGGCCAACTCTCTCATGCCGGGTTTTATACTCAGTGGGTGCCGATACCGTGCAACCTGATACAAGATAATTGTTTCTGGGAAATTATCACAGAACCTGCATTTTGGGCTTACGCAGTAATTTAGTATGTGCACTTGATCATTTTTAGTTAATTAGCACTGATCCTATGCAGCAAGCATAAAACCTTCTGTTTCAACTTTTAACTCTGCACTACGTAGTCACTGGTGGGCACGGGGTTTGTCTACATCAGCTTGTTTGGTAAGGGCAGTGTATTGGCCATGAAGCGGTTTATCTTGCCATTGTTTCTGTATCTGGTCAGTTTGCATTTTATTTTTTTTTTATGTATTTATCAGCTTCAGTCGTTTTATTAAGCTTTACTTATATTGCTGAATCAATTTGAAACTCCATTTTGAGCTTGTTGGCTTCTTTTGTTACGGAATAAAGACGCTTACTACTTTCATGTTCTTTGACACATATCATCATCCAGTCTTCTGTAGCTCCGTGGCATCTTTGAAGGACAATTGTTGTAGTTTTGTAGGACAGTTGTAGTTGAACTAATCCTCTGCCTCCTTCGGATCTGGACACATACTGACGATCAACATCAGCTTTGGGATGGTGTATGCGTTAACAAGTGAGAAGATTTCTAGTTTTGACGCCCATTCGCTTAATGACAGCTATGGTCCAATTAAGGATGTTGAAACTGCATTGCACCACAGGGAAAGCCAAGATGTTTATGGCTGATATTCTGTTTTTTTTTTAGTTCAGTTCGGTATTTACTACCAGACGCACACGCCTGTAGTACTCTTTTCTTACCTTCACCTTCATATTTCGCTAATTTCTAGGTACTTATAGGCTTCATCTTGTTCCAGTTTCCTAATCTTTGCGACAAAGTCTAAATCTATTGAGGGTGTTTTTTAACTCTCTCTTTCTTAAATTCCTGAATTCAAAAATGAGAAAGTTACAGAAAAAATTATTATTATTATTATTATTATTATTAAGGTTATTTTTATACGAAATTTTTTTATATTAAATAATATCTTTTATTTATTATAACCTATATAAAAAAGAATTTTTGATGGTAAAATAGTATATTTTTTTAAATTCAGTGCAGCTTTTTTCTCTAATAATAATAATAATAATAATAATAATAATAACGATAATAAATTTCTTTTTAAAAAATACAAAAGTGTCAAAATATTCAATGATTACAGGCACTAAATAAGAAATCTATTCATTTGTACAGAGAAAGTTGCTGGTTTCAAGCCGTTCCTCGAGGTTCGTTTTCTTTCTCATTCCTTTCCTTCTTTTTTCTTTTGCTCTCTTTGTCTCTTTCCTTTACTCCCATTTTGACCCCTTTCTACTTCACTGGGCACATGCGGGATTATTAAGTCAACATGTCTGCTTCCATCACTACGACTTCGATCTACCTCTTTAAACAGACTTAACTCTCTTTTTCTCTTTCTTTCCCTTCCCTGCTTCGAATACATATCCTTCTTATTCCCCTCTCTCCACTTTTGAATACCTATTCTTTCTTTTTTTCCTTTCTCCCTTCACCCAATTTTGAATCTTCATTTTAAATCTAATTTGTATGTGTGTTTCATGGCGTTTTCCTTGGGCAAAACGCAAAATCACATCCTTTAAAATCCGCTGAAATGCAAAGTAAAAAGAGAACGAGGCAATAAATCGATTATTTTTAGTTTGCGCGAATCTCCGTGAACAATTTAATTATTGTTTTTTATGCCTGGAAATTTTTTTAGCCATTTACTTTTTTTGTTCCTGAGTTTTCGATTAGTAATGTTTGTAGAATTTTGACGGGTAGTTTGCGTTTTCTCTGTAGTTATGTCGGAAGATTGAATCTTAATGAATCTGTTTATCGTTCTTTTATTTCAGTGCTCATATCTTCAATCACATTTATGTGTTTGTCTATTATGACGTTATGCATCTATGTCTAGCCACGAATAAAACTTTGTAGCGGACCGTGGGTCTACGTGTTGTTAAATTAGGAACACGCGCGTTTATTCCTGCTAGAATGAGGTCCCTAAAGAACATGGCGGACTCAAAGATTGAATACCACATAAAGAAGTGTAATGAAAACAACAAGACCGATATATATATATATATATATATATATATATATATATATATATATATATATATACGGAAAAACAAACAAAAATCATATATACAATTATGCTGTTTTAATGTTAATATGTCAACGTCGGACGTTTTCGGTCTAATAAACCATGACGAGGACATATTCATAAAATATAATTAACATTATCAATTCAACATGGGCGACGCTGTTTTAAAAGATCATAAAACATAAGATTAACTGTTTAAAAAGAATTTATGACGACAAACCATGATTTTGTCATGTTGAATTGATAATGTTAATTATATTTTATGATTATGTCCTGAAGATGGTTTATTAGACCGAAACGTCCGACGTTGACATATTAACATTTAAACAGCATAATTGTATATAAGGATTTTTGTTTGTTTTTTTCCGTATATTTTTCTTCATACTGTCGGATCTATATCCATATATTTTTGCTTATATATATATATATATATATATATATATATATATATATATATATAAACACGTATATGTATTAAACCACAAAATTTACAATGGACATGGACATTAACATTTTTGTTTGTGTGTGAACGTAAAGAGTTTGGATCTTGGTGAATGTTCGTACGTACGTACGTGTATGTGTGTTTCGTGGCGTTTTCCTACAAGTGGGCAAAACGCAAATCTCTGCGTGAGATCACATCCCTTAAATATGTCCGCTGAAATACAAAGTAAAAAGAGAACGAGGCAATAAATCGACCAGTATTTATAGTTTAGAGAAAGCGCGCCCTCGTGAACAATTTGGACAATTAAGGAGGGGTTAACTCCGACATCTTTCTCCCTTAATAGGTTACTGACAGTGAAAGGAAATGAGAATAATTTAGAAGAAAGGACAATAAAAAAAGATTAAAAAATGAATATAGCGATTGACGTTACATTTAAATTTTTGAAGATCGTAGTTGACAGGAAGAAAATTCCAGAGTAGAGAAGTTCCGAGAGAGGAAAAAACTAGAATAGAACTTCCGGTTGCATCTCACTATTTCACTAAATAATAATAATAAATAATGAAAATGTGACTTGATCTCGTATGTTGCAGCAGTTATGCACATGGATTTTTACACATTTGTGAATCATTACAAAATCCTGCGTTGGAAAATGAAAACGCTCACTCGGTTCTAACACATGACGTCATACTGCCAAAAAATAATTTTCGTAGAAGAAAAATGGTGAAACCACACAAGAAAATAAGAACCAGAACTTACTTCCTATTAATTTCATTCCGCCAAAAATTACAGGAAAAGAAAAACAGAAAAAAAAATTTTACCCATTGTTTTTTTTTCCATTAAAATAATAACAAAATTTCTTTTGATAAATTCGGCATAAAAATATTTTTTTTAAATCCGATGTTATTTCTGTCATCTCCATCGGTTTCTATGGAAAACTGCAAATCAAAACCAGTCGACATTTCATGAAAGATTTCAATGCGATGTGGTCGCTAATGAGATCACAATTTGCATAATTGATACCTGATTTTTTTATTCCTTAACGTCACTTTTTTTTTAAGTAGATTGATTCTGGTATAGGCTACATCTGCATATGAGAAAGGATTGACAAGAATTGTAAGAATAGGGACGAAGAAAAGAGGATTCCGGAGAAAAGTAATTAAAGAAAAGATATAAACAAAAAGTAAAAGGAAAGGTAATTACAAAAACAGAATCGAGGAATAATACTAAGAGTAAAAAAAAAAATAACGAAAACAGAAAAACGAGAAGGAACAATAATAGTGAAACAAGAAGAATGAGAAAGAAAGAAAGAAAAGAAAGAAAGAAAAAATGAAAGGAAATCAATGAAAGATAGACGTTGATAAAAAAGAAAGAAAAAATAAGGAAAGAAACAAAAAATAAAAATTGAAAAAAAGAACGAAAAAGAAAGAAAGAAAAGAGAAAAAGACGAAAGTATTATTGAAAGAGGAAGTAAAAAAAGAAAAAACAAAATAGATGGAAGGATTTGGGAATTATGAGAAAAAGTGAAAAACAAACAAGAAAAAAAGAGAAAAAAAAACAGAAAGAAGTGAAAGATTTAAATTTGAAAAAGAAAAGAAAAAAGAAAGAAAAGAGAAAGATATACAAAAAGAAGGAACATTTAAACAAAATGAAAGAAATCATGTAAAACAAGAAGACAAAAGAAAGGATGAAATATGAAAGAACGAAAGAAAGAAAAAATAAACAAGAATTAATGAGGAAGAAGAAATGAATGAGGATGAAGAAGAAATCTTATAACAGAAAAAATAATGTAAAATGAAGATAAAAAATTACGAAAAATGACAGAAAACAAAAAGAGGCTAGTAAGAAAGATTTTGAAAAAAATAATTTAAACAATTTAAACCAAAATGAAAGAAAACATGTAAAGCAAATGAATAAAGAAAGGACCAAAAAGAAAAAAAAAGAAAGAAGGAAAAGGCGAAATAAATAAAGAAGGGCATAAAAGAACAAACAGAAAGAGAGAAAGAAAGAATGAAAAAGAAAGATCAAAAAGTAAGAAAGAAAGAAAGAAAGAAAGAAAGAACAAAAAGAAAAAGAAGGAAATAAAGAAAGAATGAAAAGGTGAAATAAATAAAGAAGGGCAGACAGACAGACAAACAGAAAGAAAGAAAGAAAGAAAGAAAGAAAGAAAGAAAGAAAGAAACATTTAAATAGAAAGAAAGAAAAAGAAATCGTGTAAAATTTCAAGAAAAAGAAAGGACGAAAAATCAATGAAAGAAAGAAAGAAGAAAAAGTAAGCGAGAAAGAAAGAAAAAAAGAAAAAGAAGGAAATAAAGAAAGAATGAAAGACAGGTAAAAACAAAGAACGGAAGGCAAAAAGAAAGAAAGAAAAAAAGAAAGAAAGAAAGAAAAGAAAAAAAAGAAAGAAAAAAAAACAAAAATTAAAGAAAAAAAACAAGAAGAAAGAAAGAAAGAAAAAATAAAAAGAAAGAAAGAAAGAAAAAAAGAAAGAAAGAAAGAAAGAAAGAAGGAAATAAAGAAATAATGAAAGACAGATAAAAAACAAAGAACGGAAGGCAGACAGACAGACAGAAAGAAAGAAAGAAAGAAAGAAAGAAAGAAAGAAAGAAAAGGTAAAATAAATAAAGAAGGGTAGACAGACAAACAGAAAGAAAGAAAGAAAGAATGAAAGAAAGAAAACAATTAGTGAGAATGATGAGCAAAAAACAGAAACATTGAAATAGAAAAAACGAAAAAGAAATCGTGTAAAATTTCAAGAAAAAGAAAGGACGAAAAATCAATGAAAGAAAGAAAGAAGGAAATAAAGAAAGAAGTTCGTGAGAAAAATAGGAAACCTTTAAACATAAAGAAAGAGAACATGGCAAATGAAATATAAGGGATTAAAATAAAGGAAAGAAAGACAGCAAGACATACAGAAAAATGGATGAAAGACGTGAGAACGATTTGCAAAAAGAAGAAATATTTAAACATATTAGAAGAAAATAAGTAAAACGAAATGAAAAAAGAATGACGAAAAATGGAAGAAAGAAAGAAAGAAAGAAGCATGTAAGACAGATAGAAAGAAATCATGTAAAACAAGAAGAAAATGACAGGAAGAAAATGACATAAAGAAAGTAAAAAAGAAATTAGAGAGGAAGATGTGTAAAAAAAACATTTAAAAGAAAACGAAACAAAGGACGAAAAATGAATGAAAGAAAGAAAGAAAGAACGAAAAGAAAGAAAGAAAGAAAGAAAGAAAGAAAGAAAGAAAGAAAGAAAGAAAAGGATAGATGTAAAATGGGGATAAAGAAGAAATATGTAAACTGATAGAAAGAAAATATGCAAAGCAAAAAGAGAAAAGATAGGACGGGAAATGAATGAAAGAAAGAAAGAAAGAAAGAAAGAAAGACAGATAAAAACAAAGAACGCAAGGCAGGCAGAAAGAAAGAAAGAAAGAAAGAAAGAAAGAAAGAAAGAAAGAAAGAAAAAATAAAAAAATAAAGAAAGAAAGAACAGAAAGACAAAAGAAAAAAAAGAAATAAATAAAGAAAGAAATAAATAAAGAAAGAAAGAAAAAAACAAACGGAAAGAAATAAAAAAAAGTATAAAAAACAAACGGAAAGAAAGAAAAGAAAGAACAAAAATTAAGAAAGAAAGAAAGAAAGATAAAAAGAAAGAAAAAACGAAATAAATAAATAAAGAAAGAAAGAAAGAACGAAGGACAGAAAGAAAGAAAGAAAGAAAGAAAGTATAATATGAGAAGGACAAAAAGATTTAAATGAGAAAGAAAGAAAGAAAGAAAGAAAGATAAAAAGAAAGAAAGAAAGATAAAAAGATGGAACATAAAGAAAGAAAGAAAGAACGAAGGAAGGAAGGAAATAAATAAATAAAGAACGAAAGACAGAAAGAAAGAAAGAAAGAAAGAAAGAAAGAAAGAATGTATAATATGGGAAGGACATAAAGATTTAAATGAGAAAGAAAGAGAAAACTTAATGTGAAAAAAAAGAAAAAATAAATAGAAAGAAATCATGTAAAAAAAGATAAAGAACAGAGGAAAAGTGAATGAAAAAGATGTGCAAAAAGAAAGAGTTAAACAAAAAGAATAAAGGAAGAAAGAAAATGGAAGAATGAAAGTAAGAATGTTCGAATGCAATAAACGCTTAAATAAGAAAGACAAAGAAACAAAGACGAAATGAAAGAAAGATTAACATGAGAAAGAAATAAACATCTAAATACGAAAGACAGAATGAAAGAAAGACGAAATGAAAGAAAACGGGAAAAGAGGAAGAAAAAAGAGAAAAAAAAGAAGGAAATAAAGAAAGAACGAAATGTAAAAAGACAGAATTAAAAGAATAAAGAAAGAATAAATGAAGAAATATTTCAGTTGAGAAAGAAAGTTTAATGGAGTAGGCCAGGAAGTAATTGACTATGTATAAAATTACCAGAACAGGAGGAAAAGCCATTCGACTCAGAAAGCAGAGTAGGATTCATGTCTAATTAATATATTCCGCATTCGTTTTGCACTTTAATCTCGAGAAACACATATATATGAATGCGGCCACTGAATAAAAAAAAGGAATGAAAAACAAAGTAAAAATAACCCAAAGAAGTTTAGTGAGAAAATTGTGCAAAAACGAACGAACATTTAAAAGTGTAAAAGAAAAAAAAAGAAAAGAACAAAAAGGAATGAAAGAAAGAAATAATTTAGGGAGATGTACTAAACGATGAAATATTTAAAACAGAAAGCAAGAGAACATGTGAAATGTAAAGAAATTTGGAAAAATAAAAGAAAGAAAGAAGAAAAAGTAAGAGAGAACGAAAGAAGAAAAAAGAAAAAGAAAGAAATAAAGAAAGAATGAAAGACAGATAAAAACAAAGAACGTAAGGCAGACAGACAGACAGAAAGAAAGAAAGAAAGAAAGAAAGAAAGAAAGAAAGAAAGAAAGAAAGAAAGAAAGAAAGAAAGAAAGAAAGAAAAGGTGAAATAATTAAAGGACAGGCAGAAATAACGGAAAACAGAAAGAAAGAAATAAAAAAAAGAAAGAAGCAAAGAAAAGGTGAAATAAATAAAGAAGAGCATAAAAGAACAAACAGAAAGAAAGAAAAAAGAAAAAGAAAGATAAAAGAAAAAGAAAGAAAGAAAGAAAGAAGAAAAAAAAAAGAAGGAAATAAAGAAAGAATGAAAGACAGATAAAAAAAAAGAACGGAAGACAGACAGACAGAAAGAAAGAAAGAAAGAAAGAAAGAAAGAAAGAAAGAAAAAAAGAAATAAATAAAAGAAAAGAAATAAAAAAACAAACAGCAAAAAATAAAAAAGAAAAAAAAAAAAGAAAAAAAAAAAAAAAAAAAAAGAAAGAAAGAAAAGAAAGTAAAAAAAAGAAAAAGAAGGAAATAAAGAAACAATGAAAGACAGATAAAAACAAAGAACGGAAGACAGACAGAAAGAAAGAAAGAAAGAAAGAAAGAAAGAAAAGGTGAAATAATTAAAAAGGGTAGACAGACAGACAAACAGAAAGAAAGAAAGTTTAAAAACTAGGATAAGATAGGAAGAACGAAAGTAGTGAAAATGATGAAACAACGAAGCAAAATAAAAAAGAAATAAGTTAGAGATATATATGAAGAAGATGAAATATTTAAACGGAAAGAAGTCTTCTAAAATAACACGAAGAAATAAAGCAGGAAAAATGAAAGTAAGAAAAAAATCTAAGAGTAATAAGAAAAAGAACAATACGAGACAATGAAAGACGAAATTAAAGAAAGAAAGAAAGTGTAATATGAGAAGGACATAAAGATTTAAATGAGAAAGAAAGAAAGAAAGAAAGAAAAAAAGAAAGAAATATAGAAAGAACGAAGGAAATAAATAAAAAAGAAAAAAAAAAAAAAGGACAAAAAAGAAAGAAAGAAAGAAAGATAAAAGAGAAAGATAAAAAGAAAATGAGGAAAAGAAGGAAAAAAAAAAGAAATAAATAGAACGAAAAAAAGAGAAAGAAAAAGATAAAAGAAAGAAAGAAAGATAAAAAGAAAGAAAAGAAAGATAAAAAGAAAGAAATTTAAACGAAAGAAGGAAGGAAATAAAGAAAGAAAAAAAAAAAAAAAAGAAAGATAGACAGAAAAAAGAAAGAAAGAAAAAATAAATATGAAAAAACATAAAAAGAAAAATGGAAAAAAAAAGAAAAAAAAAAGAAAGATAAAAAATGAAGAAAGAAATAATGAAATAAAAAAAGAAAGAAAATATGAAGGAAATAAATAAAATTTAAATGAAAAGAACGAAGGAAGGAAGAAAGAAAGAAAGAAAGAAAGACAGATAAAAAGAAAGAAAGGAAAAAAGAAAGAAAGAAAAAGAAAAAGGACAGAAAGATTTAAAAAAGAAAGAAAGAAAGAAAAAGAAAAAGAAAGAAAGAAAAAAAGAAGGAAGGAAATAAATAAGGAAAGAAAGAACGAAGAAAGAAAAGAAAGAAAGAAAGAAAAAGAAAAGAAAGAGAAGGATAAAAAGATTTAAATGGGAAAGAAGGAAAGAAAAGGAAAAAAAAAAAGAAAGAAGAAAGAAAGAATGAACGATAAAAAAAAGAAAGAAAGGATGAGAAAATAAAATCAGAAAAAACAGAATTGGAAAGAATAAAGAAAGAAAGAAAGAAAGAAAGATAAAAAGTAAGAAAGAAAGAAATAACGAAGGAAATAAATAAAGAAAGAACATAAAGATTTAAAAGAAAGAAAGAAAAGATAAAAAAGATAAAGAAAGAATGAATGAAAATAAAAAGAAGAAAAAACAGAATTGGAAAGAATAAAAGAAAAGAAAAAGAAAAAAAAAAAGAAAGAAAGAAATAACGAAGGAAATAAATAAAGAAAGAACGAAGAAAGAAAGAAGGAAAAGCTGAAAGAAAGAAAGGATGAGAAAATAAAATCAGAAAAAACAGAATTGGAAAGAATAAAGAAAGAAAGAAAGAAAGAAAGAAGAATTGAGAATGTACGTTTAATTGTCCTCCTAGTTGGCGATGGCTTAAGTAATTATCCAGTCAAGTGACCAAGGCAAGTGAAGAAGTCTTAGATAGAGTAGGATTCGGTCAGTGAGTAAACAGATTCCAAGTTCGCTTTGCACTATTAACCTCGACGAATACATATAACTTAATAGCACAACTGAATTTGAAATTTGTTCTATCTGAGAAAAGTAAAGTCGGTGAGAAACATGCGCAAAAAATAAGCATTTGAAGAGTAAGAATAAAATGATGTAAAAGAAAACGACATAAAGGACAAACAATGAAAGGCAGAAAGAAAGAGTTTTTTTTTTTTTAAGAAACATGTGCAAGAAGAAGAAACATTTAAAAATAAAGAAAGAAATCATGTAAATTAAGAAGAAAAAAAAAGCTTGAAAACTGAAAGGGTACAGTGTAAGCAGTTACACAAAAATGACTAAGGCAGGTGGAGAAGCACGACTCATATAGAATCAGATCCGCTCTGTGATTAATATGTCTCCTCGTTGTATATTATATATATATTTATATATATATTATATATATATATATATTTATATTTAAGTTTTACTCTAACTGTTTGAAATTTATTGTTTTGACGTCTTTTTGAAATTTGACATTATATATATATATATATATATATATATATATATATATATATATAGCAAGCATAAATATTTCTCCTCACGATGATGGCCATTTTGGTCGAAACTAGTCGAGGAATCTAAATGAAATAATAATAAAAAAACGAAAGAATATTAATCTACAACCCAGTGTGTCTAAAGATTTTAATATTTTAATATTTTTATTGTTCAATATATATATATATATATATATATATATATATATATATATATATATATATATATATATATATATATATATACATACCTTTCTCCAGGCCAACGTGGATACATTTTAATCACAGATCGGATCTTATCCGATATGATTCGTTCTTCTCCACCTGCCTGGGTCATCTTTACATTATTGCTTACGCTACATTTTCAAACTTTTTCTTCTTCTTCTTAATTTACATCATTTCTTTCTTTCTGTTTAAATGTTTCTCCTTCTTGCACAGGTTTCTCACCAACCTCTTTTTTTCTCTTCTTCTTTCTTTCTGTCTTTCATTGTTTGTTTTTTTTTCTTTTTTTTGTTTTCGTTTTCTTTTACATCGTCCAAAAAGGACGAAAAATGAAAGAAAGAAGTTCGTGAGAAAGATGTGAAAAAGAAGAAAAAAATTAAACAGAAAGAAAGAAATCGTGCAAAACAGAAAGAAAGACGAATGAAAAACGAAAGAAAGTAGTTAGTGAGAAAGATGTTAAAATGAAAAAAAGAACATTGAAGCAGGAAGAAATCGTGTAAAACGTAAAGAAAAAAATGGATGAAAAATGGAAGAAAGAAAGAAGTTAGTGAGAAAGAAATCGTGTAAAACAAAGAAAAAATGGATGAAAAATGGAAGAAAGATAGAAGTTAGTGAGAAAGAAATCGTGTAAAACGACAAGAAAAAGAGTGAAAGAAAAATGAAAAGAAAGAAATATTGAAAGAAAGAAAGAAAATGTGAGAAAGATGTGCAGAAGAAATATTTAAAAAGAGATCATGTAAGAGAAAAAGAAAAAAGAAATGACGAAAAATGAGAGAAAAAAAGTTAATGATAAACATGCGAAAAAGAAGAAACATTTAAATAGAAAGAAAGAAATCGTGCAAAATTGCAGGAAAGAAAGAAAAGAAATGCATAAAGAAAGATACTAGTGAGAAACATGTGGAAAAACGCGGAAAAATAAAATAAAAAATAAAGATCGAAAAATGACAGAAAGTGAGGCTTAGTAAAAAAACCTGTTCAAAAAAATAAATATATAAACGAAACGAAAGAAAATATGTGAAACAAAAAATAAAAAAAAAGAAAGGATGGAAAAAAAGGAAAGAAAGAAACAGAGGAAGAAATAAAGAAAGAAGGGAAAGAATTATTGAGAAACGCGTGCCAAAGGAAGAAAACTTATAAACAGAAAGAAAAGAAAACATGTAAAACAATGACGAAATGACGAAAAAAAAGGAAAGAAAGGAAGAGGGAATGAAAAATCTAATCAGAAAGATTTACAAAAAGGAGAAGCATTTAAAAAGAAAGAAAGAAATGGTGAAAGAAACGACGGAAAACAAAAAGAAACTAGTAAAAAAAAATTAATGAAAGACAGACAGAAAAAAACGGAAATAATGAGAAAATGAAAAAAAAAAGAATAAAATGAAAGACAGAAAGAAAAAAAATGAAAGACAAAAAGAAAGAAAATGTCGAACAGAAAGAAAAAAAATGAAAGAATGAAAAAAATGACAGACAGAAATAAAAAATGAAAGAATGAAAAAAATGACAGATACAAATAAAAAAAATGAAGAATGAAAAAAATGAAAGAATGAAAAAAATGACAGACAGAAATAAAAAATGAAAGAATGAAAAAATGAAAGAATGAAAAAAATGACAGACACAAATAAAAAATGAAAGAATGAAAAAAATGAAAGACAGAAATAAAAGACCGAAAGTAAAAGTTAGTGAAAAAAATAGAAATATTTCTAGAAAAAGAATGAAAACATGTAAAGCAAAAAGAAAAACGAGAGGACGAAAATTAAATAAATAAATTAGTGATTGGTGATTATTCAGAATCCAATTGACGATGATGGAATGTGACTAGTTCGATTTTCGAGGCATTGAATGCTACAAGACCATTATTCCTTACCATTGAAATGTTATAGCAGAGGAGTGATCAGCTGCCAATCTTTGGTCGTCTCCGTTTTGGTGGTGCGTTCATATATGGTTGTATCATCAGCAAAGCTTACTCGAAGTATCGATTTATCAGACTTCAAGTCTTAATTATATTAATATTTGCTATAACATTCTCCTTATTAATGCATCTAATTAACTCCCAATAAAAACAAAATTAATTAATCCTATTTAACTTAATTCATTTTGGCTTATAAGATAATACAGTAATTATGAGTTACTTGATGTGTAAATAACTCTAAATTAAATAATGAGTTATTTTATTAATGGTTGGATTACGGCATTGCTGACAATGGATATAGTAGACATTTTAGACAATGATTGTTTGAAAGTGGATTGCTCGTGTTTTCTATACGTTATTTTTGTCTTAGACTGCGCCACATACCTGAATAAGATTTTTTTAGTTGGATTCATGTTACGCAAGAGAGATTTGTTTATGTAGTGCCAAAAGTCATGAGCGAGCAGTATGTCGAGATAATGGTAGGTGGCGCCACGATAACTTGACATTATGCAAAATGTATGTTTTTACCCTAAAATCTGACGACGGTAATTATTGAAGTTTGACGGAGGCACTATATTGGATGCTGGACGAATGGAAGATTCTATTTCTGAAATTGATTTCCGGTATTACATTTTCTCTTTTTTATGAAAAAACTCTGGAAGTAAAAATGCATCCCAAAAAAGTGACGATTATCAGGCATCAATTAATTATGGAAACACAAAAGTTGTTATTGCTGCCATATATGGTCCGGTGTTTGTCTCAAGGTTCTTGATAAGATCCAGAGACGGATATGCAATGTAATGATCCCTGATCCGGCATTTCGTCTGCAGTCGCTTTCTCACAGACGTGCCGTCGCCTCCCTCTGTCTTTTTTTTTATACTTTCATGGTAACTGCTCGGATGAGGTGCTTTCACTGGTTCCCAGACTTCATGAATTTAAGCGTTCTACTAGGCTGACATCTCGCTCACACCCTTTCACTGTCGAAACTGTTAAATGAATCCGTCTCTTCTACTCCAATAGCTTCATGTCTTGCACCTCTCGCCCGTGGAGCTCTCTCCCCTTTTCCTGTTTCCCTGACTATTCAAATGTAAAGTCAATCGACGTCTCCAGATGCCTTGATCTATCCCCTATCCTTCTCTTCATCCTTTCCTCTATTACTCCCATTTTCTCTCGCTCCAACTATCTGTAACCCCTTGCGTGCTAGTGGCTTCTAACATTGCTTGGGGTGAAATGCTTAAAAAAAGAAAAGACCCTCACATATGCAGAGGTATCATGATTAGATCCATTGTGGTGAATGTATTAATGAACATTATCTATATATATAAAACCAAGGATGCCTGTGTGTCTCACTATCTGTCTGTGTGATACATTTCCAGTCGAGTTCCATCCCACTGATTTTACCAAACTTGGCA